AATGTGGTGTGTTTGAGGAAATGGGAAACATAGATTTCATGGTGCAGTCACGCACTTCCTGGTCACAAAACGTTCTGTAAATGCGCATATTATGGCAAAAATTATTCATCATTAAACCTGGTTTTAACATTGCTTTTATAAAGTTTGAAGTCTGTGCTGTCCAATCCAGCTCACTGTTTTTTTACAGAAGCCCTGTAAAAGCATCACAGCTTTGCCATCTCAGAATGTTAAAAGAAAAAAAAATTTCTGTATCCGCTTCGTGATCCGGAACATCAAAATTTAAAGGTGTGTGTTCCTTGGCCCTGTACCCACATGTGGTAAAAATGTCATGACAATCCATCCTCAAGTTTTTGAGTAATGTTGTCCACAGACAGAACGACAGAACGACAGACAGACAGACAGACAGACAGACAGACAGACAGACAGACAGACAGACAGACATGTGACTGAAAACATTACCTCGCCCTTGGCGGAGGTAAAAACTGATGTGGCATGGCACAAAGTTGACAACTAGTTCAAAGTGTCTTCTGTTTGCTTCTCATTTTTCTGCCATGTAATTGTGCATGGTTTATTTATTGACATTTTAGTTAACTCTCTTTTACATCAATAGAGAACCACATAATTTTATTTTTCCTTTCAAATGTAATAAACAATTAAAAATCCCCAAGTGTCCTTTTTTTACATAAAAAGTTTAATGTATTGTTTTTGAAAGTTAGAAATGTGCAGAACCAAGCAGCTGAAGGAAAAACAAAGGCTTCTCTGACGAAAGGTGAAGTGAATTCTTCTCTTCTTGAAAAACAAACAATTAACTGATGTATTGAAATTTCTCCTTTTCTTGCTTGTTAAAGCAATACCAGTGGAAACTACATCCTGCATGTTGCTTCCACTTCATTAACTCTGTGTCCTAAAGATAGATTTGTGGGGGTGTAAAGACTAAGAAGCAATTCATCTTGATACCAGGGGAAGGCATTTTTACATCCTCTGGTTTCACAAACAAGCAAAATCAGCGGTACAATTTAAAGAACCTTGATAGGCTGAAAAAATAATGTTTGCGTGAACCAGTTCAAACTGTTCAATTGATTTTACATGAAGGTAAAATAAACTGCAAGCAAGCAATGAATAAATTAAGGGCTTAACATTACTTGAAGGAAAGCCAACTTCAATTGACTAAATGTGAAATAAATACTAGAGATATTACTAAAAAATTAAATTAAAAAATACTCACTGAAGAGTTGTGGTAAGAAGCAACCATCTTGAATTCTAAACTCTCCGACTTTGCAGGTCTCCGAGGTTGCATGGAATCCTTTCTGTGTTTCCTGTCTGCTTTCAGGAAAGCCCAGTCCATGCAACCTTCAGGTGAAAATGAAGACCCCAAACCCAGATCCAAACCAGTGGTTATTCCGTATGTTGCGGGTGTTTCGGAGAAACTGAGACGTTTATTTTCTAAACATGATGTCCCAGTRGCTTTCAAACCCCAAWACACATTACGGCAAAGGCTVGTTCACCCCAAAGATCYGGTGCCCCGGCACAAACAGAGCAATGTTGTATATGCTGTTAAGTGCCAGGAGGACAGCGACCAGTTATACATTGAGGAAACAAAGCAGCCACTGTTCAAAAGAATGTCCCAACACAGATGAGCTACATCTAATGGCCAGAACTCTGCAGTTTTCACTCATTTACAGGCCAGCGGTCACTCTTTCAGAGATGAGGATGTTCTTATTCTTGATAGAGAGGAACGCTGGTTTGAGAGAGGAGTAAAAGCAGCCATTTTTGTGAAGAAAGACCGTCCATCATTAAACAGAGGTGGAGGCCTCCGTTTTCAGTTGTCCCCCTCCTACAGTGCTGCTATTGCCAGTATCACTCCACCCCGTTAACAATAGGTATTAATTAGGTGTCAACAATAGCAATGTGATGTGAGCATCGGTCACATGGAGGCAGTGCTTAAAAGCCTGAATTTTGCCTGAAACCCTCAGACTGAAGAAGTCTCTTGGAGGAGAGACGAAACGTTTCATTAGAGAAGAACCCGTCCAGAAGACCTATACAATTTTTTTCTTTTTGTTCTTCWWCAATGATGTTATTTTAGTCAGAGTTCTTTTGTCTCTCACCACCTGCACTGTGTCGAGGGGGCATCCCAGCACAGAGCTGGCCTTCCTGATGAGCTTATCTAATTTCTTCCTCTCATCTGTAGTTAAGCTGCCGCTCCAGCTAACCACCCCGTAGAAGATGGCTGATGCCACCACAGAGTCAAAAAAGGTCTTCAGGAGTGCCCCCTGCACTCCAAAAGTCCTCAGCAGGTAGTCTGCTCTGACCCTTCCTGTAAAGAGCGTCCGTGTTGTGAGTCCAGTCCAGTTTATTGTTCAGGTGGACATCCAGGTACTTATAAGAGTCCACTATCTCAATGTCCACTCCCTGGATGTTCATCGGTGTCAGTGTTGTGGGACTGCGCCTGCGGAAATCCACCACCAGCTCCTTGGTTTTGGCAGCGTTGATCAGGAGGTAGTTCCGCTGGCACCAGTCCACAAAGTCCTGAGTCCAGTCTGTACTTGGAGTCGTCCCCACCTGTGATGAGGCCAACTATGGCAGAGTCATCAGAGAACTTCTATAGGTGGCAGTGTGTGGTGTTGATGGAGATGTCTGCAGTGTAGAGGGTGAAGAGGAATGGTGCCAGCACTGTTCCCTGTGGAGCCCTCGTACTGCAGACCAGCGTGTCCTAGATGCATCCGTGTCCTCACATAATGTGGGCGGTCCGTGAGGTAGTCCAGAATCCACTGGGATATTCGGTGGTCCACTCCAGACAGCTCCAGCTTGTCACTCAGTAGTCCTGGCTGGATGGTGTTGAAAGCACTGGAGAAATCAAAGAACATGATCCTCACAGTGCTTCCTGGCTTCTCCAGGTGAGTCAGAGCTTGGTGCAGGAGGTAGATGATGGCATCATCCACCCTGATGCCAGGCTCGTAGCCAAACTGCAGCGGATCCAGTGAAGACCTCACTAATGGTCGTAGATAGTTGATGACCAGCTTCTCGAAGGTCTTCATTAGATGCGACGTCAGAGCCACCGGTCTGTAGCTGCTGAGGTCTTTCGGGTGTTTGGTCTTGGGCACAGGTACCACACAGGAGGTCTTCCATAGCTGTGGTACCTTCTCCATCTCCAACTCCAATACCATCTGGGCTGATTGGATTTTCCATTTGCCTTTCAGATTATTGCTTTTTTTCCTGGCCTTAGTTTAGTTGGACAGCATCGTCTTGGTAGAGCAGCAGTTGGGTTATACTCTACATTCAGATGACTGATTGAACAGAGCTTCAAGCTTTTTTACTACCAAATCCTACTTTTAACTTCACAGCAGTGTTATCTTTGACTTGTTTTGTGTGTTCCTAGGTCTTCATGATACTGTTTGATCACAAATATTGTGTAACAAACATCTGAGGTCTTCACAGAACAGCTGGATTTATATGGAGATTAAATTACACACAGATGAATTCTGTTTATCAATAGGTGACTTCTGAAGGCAGTGAGTTGGACTGGGTTTTAGTTTGGTGTATAACGATAAGAGGGGTAAGTCTTATCCAAAGTGTGTAAGGCCTTTAAGTGTGAAAATGTGGTTTGACTACAAGTTAAAAGAGAAAATAACAGGTGAATACAAATGCATGGTGCCACATTTTCTCAACTTTTATGTATAGTGTTGAATGCCACGCATCATTTTCCTTCCACTTCACATTTATCTGCTACTTTGTGTTGGTCTGGCACATACAAACTCCAGTAAAATACATTTATCGTTGTAGTGTGACAGAATGGGGGAAAACTTTTAAGGAATGTGAAGACTTTCACAAAGCCTTTGTAAAGCTTTGCACAGAACGTCATTTCTGAAAACTCCAAACTATTCCTTTAAGACCATACATGTGAGGCTGAGGATTGGGCCAAATGTTGAGTTGGTAATTATACAAGGAAGTGTTGAAACATAACTGAAATACCTTGAGGATTGTAGTGGAAAAGACAAAAAGAAACACAATAAATTAAAGCTCCAGCATCAGGAGGCAGGTAAATAAGGATGTAAACTTCTAAATAAATTCAATTTAAAGGGTCAGTACCTGCATTATTGAACAATTCTCTATGCTGAGGAAATGAGAATCAATCAGAGGCTGGGCCTTAAAATTGATCTCATTTCTACAGCAGCTTGTTTCATTTTTGTGCTTTGGTAAAACCCGCAGGCTCTAGTCAGTAATCATGTCTTTCTTGACATGTTTGTCACTGTCATTAAATAATAAAACAAGTCCATCAATCGTACTCCATTAGCAGTGGTCGTCTTCTTCTCAAATGCTAAAAGCTAAAGTGAATAGCCCTCAGAGTAATTATGATGTTATCAACACAGACCTTCCTCTGTCCATTATTAATGGGTTTTCTGCTGAGGGTAGCAGGAAAATACTGAGCAAAGCACTGATCATATGGCCATCTCTGAGCTGGAGTTTAACAACCATCCTGTCATGGAACCAGTTCATCAATTCTAACGCAAGACCAGCATTGAAGGATCCAACAGTAACTCATTTTTCCACCCACTTTTACTAATTGGTTCAAAAGCTGAGAACCAAATTAATAATGGTTTGGCTGAGCCAAATCTACCTTTGTGTTGTAGGTCAAAATTTCCATTCCAGTACAGCACTTGCACATTTTACCATGAATTACAAAAATAAATAAATAAATAAATAAAAAAAGCCAAACTGGCTCATTATTTACAGCATATGCACATCTTTGAACAGCCGGAGAGAGAGAGAGAGCATGTTAACTCCACAGGGAGATTCCTCAGCAGACCGACAGGTTGGAGCCCAGAACCTTCCTGCTGAGAGGCAGCGGCACTAACCCACACACACACACACAGAGCCTGTGAATCCCCCAACATATCTCATCCATTTTGCATCTTTAATCCATGGAGAACTGCTGCTCAAGGACAGAGGTACCAACTGATCCATGTAGACTTTAGACATGGTAGTAAAACACTCAGAGCCACTGACAGTTTAGCTGAGTTTATTCATATTTAAAAACATTTTCATGGCAGCACATTCTTCAACCTATGCATGCGAGATGTATCCCACAAACATATTTCAATAAAAAAATTTCAGAAGGTAAATCAAAAGATAAAAACTAACAGTAAGAAGATGTAATGTAGATTTCTAAAAGCAGCATTTCAGACTTTGGGTGAGGACCGAAGTGTCCTCGAATGAAACAGAACTGTGGTGTGCTGTTTAGACTGAACAGTTGATGTAGCAGGGCAGGCACATTTTTGCAGTCAAAGACACAGCTTCACCATCAGTAATGCCAAAATTACTGTAGAGAGCAGAAACTCAGTCCTTCCAGTTCAATAAAACTGACTGAAAATAAAGTGGATAAAAGAGAGAGAGTGTAGTAGGCAGAAGAGAACAGATCCAAACATTCAAACCAGTCTGGAGATGGTGTTTTCTCCCTTGTCATGTTCTTGCTACAGACAGTGTGGGCTTTGTTTCCATACACTGTATATATGTGATTCATGTGTGCTGCAAAGTGTGCACATTAACAAAAATAGAACTCTGTGTGTACACTCCCTCCTCTTCACTTACTGCCTCTCTCCTGCGGCTTGCAGGGATTGTTGTGTCCCCACAGCGCCTGCTGTGTTGTTGGGAACATAAATATAAATACCAACATGTTGCAGGGGCTTCTGCTGAGACTGAGCAGAGCAGACGTCTGTGTAAACCATCGCCCTAAACCCACAGTGTGTAAGGCCTTTCTGAGTGTGAAAATGTGGTTACATTACATTTTTAAAATTAAACCAGCTTCCTGCTAATAACATGATTTCCTGCATATCAGCTCCTTAAATCAACAGGAGAAAGAAGTCCAAAAAGAGAAACTAAGTGAAAAAGTTTAGAAGCAAGAGATAAAACCATCCAAACTGGGAACCCGCTCAGGGTGTAAACAAACCACTTTGCAGCGCCTATGTAGCCACCTGCTCTATCAACATCTGTCCACATCAGCAGACACATGATGGCGATGTTGAAGGTCAGCCTGGGAGGCATCAGGTGGGCCTCCGTCTCTTCCTGTCTTTGTCCGTGTATGAGCAGTCACTGGTACTGGAGGTAGTTTTTCAGAGTCTGTGGCAGCGGAAGCGTCTCGATATGCTGGATCCGTTCCCGACCCAGAGCGAGTCGAGCGACTCGTCTGCACAGATCCATGAGGGGGAGGGGCTCCGCTGCACGAGAGAAAACAGGACAGATGATTTTGTTAAGGCTCTCAGTTGCTCAGCCTCATTAAGACATCACATTTACACAAAGAGCTCTGGAATCAAGCAGTGCCAGGGTCCTGCTGTGAGGCAGTTCAAAATGTTATGACAACTCCTCATGGCTCAGATTTCAGAACGTAACTCAAAGCTTTAAAGCTCCAAGTGAGCCACGGGGAGCAAATCTGCTGATACGGTTTTATATCAGTGTCATAAGTGATGAGACCAGCAGTAAATACAGGATGTACATTTGTATCTATCTATTAAAACACAGGAAACGCATCAGGATGATTTGATCATGACTAAATTAATTAATTTAAATGGAATATCCTGGCAATTCTGGAGTGGAATTCTGTGGAAAGGTTTTGCCTTTTTCCAATAGTAGATGTTGACACACACACACACACACACACACACACACACACACACACACACACACACGTTTCATTATGACTGTTAATTGAGCTCCATTCATTGCAGTCCTCTCAATAGCCTAGCCCTATCCCCCAACTCTAAACCTAACCCCGATGGTACATCCAAAACCATAAACCTACCCTAAACTCAATTCACATCTTAGTCCTAAATCCATCCTCCAACCCAAAAATGGAGTTCCACCATATTAGAACCAGTCTTTGGTCCCCATAAGGACTACTGGTCTTGACAAGGTATGTGTGTTTACCAGAAATGGTCCAAAAAAAGAAACAAGTACACACACAAACACACATCCGCGTACTTGCATTAAGTATTTTGTATTGACTTCCATTCCTTTTTGTAACAGCACTTATGCCTAACCCAGACATGTTTTGTAACTCTTAACCATTACTAGCCAATTCCTAATGTAATGGAAACAATACTTTTAGGTTAAAGCCTGTACTTTGTGACATACTTTAAAGTATATCTTACCCCCCTGTGAAAAGATAACTCCACCCCAAGGCGAAATCTGAAAAATGCATTAAAGTGGGTAGGGGAGGGGGTGTGGGTGGGTAAGAGAGTGGAGGTGTGGCCAGGACGAGAGAACGCGACAGCTAGCATTAGCATAATTGATGCTACATGGAGAGTGACCACAGCGACGCAGAAACATAGTTACATCTCTGAACGGTCTGAGGTGGAGGATTTTTCACCCCCCTCCTCACCAGAGGCAGAGAAAGACTTGATCAAGTCAGTTCAGTCTGGGAATGACTCATGTTTTCTCCCTGGATCAGGACATGGAGCTCTTTACCGCAGCCTCGGCTGAGCTGTCCGCCTCATGCCACACCAGCCCCGGACAGAGGAGGTGGAGCGCTCCGACAGCCTGACAGAAAAAATAAAAAGCATACAGCTGCAGCTGCTCACAAGATCACTAGTTTAAATCAGGAATAAAAGTGTTGGGTCTTGTTTGACTGAAGTTCGGTCCGGTTCGGGCTGCAGCTGCCCCGCTGTGCCTCGCTCTTGCTGCCTTTTCCCCCCTCCTCCCCTCCCGCTGTTTAGGATGTACAGCGGGCTGGTGTGTGCGTGTGTGTGGAGAGAGAGGGAGAGAAAGAGCAGCGCAGCATTCAGCTCTCCCCACCCGAGGCTGAAGGTCAACAGACGATCATGCTAAGCTTGCTAACTGTTCCACCCTCTGACTGCTGCAGGGGCGTGTCTTAGAGAGAGGCTTTTATACCAGAACACAGCYGCTGTGACGAAACYGTGRAGAAGACACGTCACCGTGGAGAGCCGTTAACCAATATGCAAATTAGCCTGCAGTACCACTGCTCTACCCATATGAGCAGCAAAAACATGTTTTTAGACAAACTATTACAGATTTGAAAAAATATGCACAAAAATATCAAAATTAGCACAGAAACAGTACTATATAACATTTTAGACACATTCTTGGCAGTTTATCAGCTAAAATAAAAGTTAATTTTGGGGTAAGTTTCTCTTTAATGACCTACCGTAAGTTTTCATGACATGCTGTTTATCAGCAGATAGAATGATTAGTCAGAACAAGATTTACTAATAACAGCCATTCTCAGATACAGTATCACTTGTGTTTATCTTTGTGTTTTCCCTTGACCCAGTATTTCCTTCGGATCAAATCTTGCTAAGATGACATAATAATGTTTGTTAAACCGTATATATGAGACCTCTCAACTGTCTCAGTGGAAGCAGAAGCACAGAAACAGGAGCAGAGAGCGGGGGAGGGACAGTCTGATATTGTTCTCTGTGTTCCTGTTGTTGCAATAAAACTCAACTGATCATTCCTTCATTCTTGGACCACATATTTCTGTCTTTGTTAAATAAGTATTTCCATAACAATACCATACTTCTAAACCCAACTAGTAGAGTGCAGGAGAACTGCAAAAAATAAAAAATAAAAATAAATAAATAAATAATAATAATAATTAACAGGAAAGACGCCCTCATACCCCCAAAGTGTCCACACTTTTATTAAAAGCATATGATGGTCCTCACTCTGTAGCAGATACAAGTAGACATCCACCTGATAGTGACATGCCAAGTTGTCACACAACAACAACAACAACAATGTGGAGCGACCCCAGCATCAGTTTCACTGATTTGAAAGTGGAAACAATGATTGACTTCAGAGATCAGTCTTACTGCCAGAACGTGCATCCATGTCCATGCTGATCCAGTGGACTGGTGAATATTTTTAAACAATCAAACATAAATATCAACCAAACTGAAGTGTTGTTTTTTTATCTTAAATTCCTAAACCCTGCAAAAAATATTTTACCAGCTGCAGGTAAATCTTTGAACAGCGTCATTTTGAAGAAACTGGTTTCGTCTGACAGGACTAAAAAGCTGAGCAGTCTGAAGCTATTCAAGACTAAAGCAGATTTCTGCCATCTTAAAACTGCTCCAATCATTAATGTTTCATAGTGATTTATGCAAACACGTTTTTCCTAAACTTTTACACCACAGTTATGTCCACAATACTATTTATTTTTCATTAAATTCTGAGGTTATTCAAAAAAGCGAATAGGAGCAGTGAGGTTCCAGTTCTGCCAGGGGTCAATTCTGGCAGGAAAACTATATTATTGCAGCAAAAAATAAAGCAAAACAAGACTTGCATAAGCATAAAGGTTTAAATATTAACCTTTGCATGAACTGCTACAAAATTCTGAAGATGGAAACTTAAAAAAAAAAAAAAAAACAGCAGCCATTTGATTTAGAAGTGTGTCCACTTGGAACATTTTCAAGCTATTAATAAATTATCTGACAAATTCACTTTTGAAGATGAAGGAATTCTGGTCTTTAACATTTCATAGTGAATCATGATAATTCCTTTAATTAAACCTTTACATCGTCATCGAGTTTGAATTATATGGTTATCCATGTAGAATAATAATTCAATTCATGTCAGAATTTACCCCAGGCTACACCAAAAGTGTTACAGCTCACCAATTGTGCTTGCAGATAGTCAATTCCATGTAAATAACTGCATAGCAAAAACATAGGTGTTAAAAATAGCTTTTCTTTAACGATTCAAACCAGGGTTTACTCAAAATGTAATAGATCATGGCGCATCGCCACGGCAAAATAAAAGCCGCCACACCTTCAAAATAAAGTTTTTTATTATAATATATTAAAATAATGTAAAGCATATCATATATATTTATAGACTATATTTGCACACCTATGCTAACCATAATCATTGTTTGAAATGTATTTAAATATCATGAAATTTTAAAATTTACTTTAAAAAAAAAAAAACAACAACAACACCGGTTCTTGGCTGGCTGGCTGCTGTGCGGTGCGCTGCTTGTGAAAGAAAACTAGAGGCGACAGTCTGAAGAAGAGGGAGAGAAAAGGTGAAAGAATGGTACCTAAGAAAGGTTAAGTTGAATGCATTTTTAGTTCAAGTCTGTGAAAATGACCCTGATGTTAACACATGTTGCATTTGAATGTCATGGTTTGACAAATAGGACAGCCCGAGGCAGGTAAAACATATACTCGGACAGGTGGATGTGTCCCGTTGCCTGCCTGACTAGGCATGTAAACTATTTCTTTTGTTTTGGCCATTTAATCCCAAAAATTCTGTAAAATTTATGAAATATAGCATTTTAGAGCACAAAAGACAGAGGATAAATCCTTAATTTATCCCTTCTGTAACATCATGCATAACAGAAAAATATTGTGTGGCAGGGATTATTTCTCTCTTCTGCTGCACATCATGCAGACCAAACAATTAACATCTGTAGCTGTTTATTTCCACACACAGGGTTACAAAGGAAAAACATTTTTTTGCATTTGTTTTTATTGCTACTCACTGAATTGAAAAAAAAATTAAAGATTTAAATAAAGATTTTCACGACATTTAGTTATTGATAATGTAGTGTGTCATGACAATCAGCTAGGGATGTCCCGATACCACTTTTTCACTTCCGATACGATACCGATATTACAACTTTGAGAAATGTCCGATACCGATATTGACCGATACCGATATTGACCCGTTACTGTAACAGTGCAAGTCACACACTTTTACCTATTTTGTAATGTAAAATCTTAGAAAAATCTTGATCAGATCAAACAG